CGATACTAAAGCAAAGGTTCCAGGTAATTGCAGCCATGCAGGTGTGATTTGAAGCATACATGTTCCCGACTGTGTTGGCTTGTCTTTGTGTTGTTTTTGAGTTTGTTGTCTTAGTTGATTTAGTGGCACATTGAGAAGAATCATTGGAGTCCTTATGTCACAGACTTTAAATAAATGGAGTGAGTTGTCCAGATTGAAAAGAACATTAATCACTGGTTTTATTGCTCTGATCAGAAACTAGTCCCAACTGACCCCTCAGTGATTTCTTGACATAATGTTTTTGTAGTCACTACACATTTATTCCAACTGGAGCTGACCAATATACTGGTTGGCTGATCTTATCATGGTGACGTAGGTCTGTCACAGATTATATTATATCGATTTCATTGTTTATGTTTTTCAGATATGCAATATGAACACTCTCAGCGATGTCTGCAGCAAATGTAGCAAAGCATTAAAGTGAATAGGATGGTGAACCCTGCTAGAATTGGTGGATGATGTAGAATTACTTTTTTCGACATGTTTTGTCCAAGAAAGTCTTAAGAGCAGCTTTACAGAGTCTGAAAAGCTGTATTTTTATTCACTTCAAAATAGTAACTATATCAACCACCATGTTGGTAATATGTGATTGTTTCCCCTCTGTTTAACCTTTGGATAGGACAGCTGAAGAGAGACAGGAATTGGGAGTAGAGAGTGGGGGATGACATGCAGTAAAGGTTGGATTCAAACCCACAGTTGCTGCGACGAGGACTCCTGTGAGAGAAAATTCTTCCAAAAATATGAGAATTTCTAGTTCTCTGAAGATGTACAAACATGTTATGAGTCAAAAACCTTTTTTACTACATGCAGCACCAATAGGAATGCAAATTCTTCAAATGCAGTAAGAATATGAAACAGTAGGAAGCCAGCAGGTGATAGGATATCAAAAGGACAGTCAGGAAGTCGTTGATTAAAAGACAGGATGTTTCAAACCTCTGCTCTCAGCTACTCCTGTTACAAAGATTAGTTTTGTCAAAATGCCCTTACACTCCAGCCTCTGTACATGGAGCAGGCATCATAACCACTAGGCTATCCAGCTCCCCATATTTGTTTATTTATATCCTGGCTGCATGTGCAAGAGCAGTTTATAGTATACAAGTGAACAGTCTTTAGAAAGTGCCCCTTCAGTTCCTTTATTATTTCTAACAATTGAAAAGTGTGATTCATGCTTTTATCCCTTCTGTGGATTGTAATGCTGTGTTTAGATGCTGGAGTTAAAACATGATATCAACATTCACCAAACCACTAGAGCAAAACTGTTTCTACCCAGATTTTGATTCTCCTCTACTAAGTTTAACATTTAAAGAGGACATATTATCACCCCTTTTCTACCTTTTCAAACAGTCCTCTGTGGTCTAAATGAAACATCTGTGCTGTGCTTTGGTCAAAATATAACGTGAATCAAGCACCAGAGGAGGTTTGTAACCCTGTATAAACCAGCTCTCTCAGAACGCTCCGTTTTGGTGTGTGTGTCTCTGTAAATGCAATGAGCATCACTCCTTTGCTAGCGAGAATAAAAATGTCGGACCTGCGTAAAAGTTTTGTTCTAGGCTGGGGGTGGAGTCCATGGGTGGAGATATCAGGGGAGGGGAGGGTATTTTTTTTTTTTTTTTACCAGAATCCCACTGTGACATCACAAGTTGAGCAAATTTGAAACGGAGCATTTTTCTCTGTGTTGTAAGACTTATGCAGACCACAAACAAAGGACTGGATGGATTTATTTCACATTTTGTGGGTCAGTAGACACTCAGGTTACTCAAATATATGTTCAAAAACATTTTTCATAATATGTCGCCTTTAAGTTTAGTAAAAATAACACTTCACGTTGTCTAATGTTATGTAATGTATGTCTTTTAAATTTACCTTTAATGTTGGAAACTTCAGAAATATACCGTCTTCAGCCAACACTTGAAAGCATGTCGCGTGTGTCGTTAATTTATCGAACTGTGTCTTTTGCCATTTTTAAATGTCTAGTAATGATTTTCAGTGATGAATGCAGGTGCCGACATAAAAATCTACAACAGGTCAAGTGCCTGCAGTCTGTCACTTTGTCACTTTAAGTATGACAGGCAGGTGCAGAGCAATGACACCAAGAGGCGCCAGCTATGCTTCAGTGTGAGGCTCACACACACACGTTTGCATTTCTTTCAGATTTCTATTTAAATTTGTATTATTCTTTGTTTTGGTATCTTGTTGAAATCAACAAATAATGCATTGTTCTGGACCTGTACAGTAGATTTTTCCTGTGCTTTATAAAGCTCTGTGCATCCATTGTAAAGAGCTTTTAACTATAGAAGTAAGGTCAATCAAAGGTCAGGTGCCTTTCCCCATTTTGTCCTATTAGAGTGCTTTTTCTGATTTGCATGAACTGACCTATTGACTTTTAAAATCAATTATTAGACATGTTTGTTGCACAAAGGCAATAGAGTCTGACTTTGACTGATTGTGTTCGTTTGAGCATTTCTGAATGCTGATTAATGGCTAAGAGCAAAGACGAAAATGTTTGTTACCTAATCCTGTAATTTAAGATTTGAGTCAATTAGCAATGGATCCAACGAAGGAGACTTTCTCTTTCACCCTGTTATTAGTCAGCCTGAGAGAAAGAGAGAAAAGAGCAAAAACAATTGGGGAATACTAACAGAAGCATTTATCTGCCAACAGGGCAGGAAACTGTAACGTGCCAACATTTTTAAGAACAAGTAAAAATATCTAGTGCCAAAGAGGCCTCAGATATTTTATCGAAGTGGTGAATCAAGACTGAAAACAAACACACTTCTCTAATAAAAAGACAGTATTAAAGAATGATTTATTAAATAGACTTATATTAGAGAAATATGCAGATATTGTGTTTAGAATAAGGAATCACGCATCACATGTACAATAAATGAGATTGGCCTATTTAAATAATTAATATTATGTAAATAAAGTTATTTGTTTATTTAACAGGGATCAATGCAATGAACATTCCTTATATTAAAAGTAGATACCATTTCATACAGGGTTCTAGCGGTGTCTAATTTGCAACCCCTGTCCCTGGCTGGGCTAGAAACTTTGGAAAATGCATTTCTTTGCTAAATAAAATGTATAAGTTAAATATGATCTTAGGGAAGTAACAGAACTGTCCTATAGTTTAAATAAGTCAGTTCAGCATACATGAAGAGTTTTTTTTCTGTAGGTCTATAGAGCACCACAGGAATGAGTCCTAAAACCCTGAAGTAAGTTAGCATTTGAGCGCCATGGGGTCTAACGTCTAAAAGTCAACGGGGATTTTGAATGGGTTTGTGGTTCGATGCCTGAAATAAGGTCTGTGGTTAACACAAGCTGAAGAGATGTTAGTGTTTTGTTAGACGACATAAACTACGTAAGCTAATACCCCCACTTGTGAATTTTGTAGTTTTTACGCGTCTTTAAAAAGGCGGTCGCTAACAAGTGGCTAAATGTGACTACAGTGGTTGTCGGGGACATTAAACGTCATCAGGCCGGACACAGAGAGCGGGAACTCTCTCACTAGTCGGAGATGTCTCCTGTAGGTTTAATCTTTAGGTTAAGGTGAATATTATGTTAATAAACTATTTATTAAACTACGTGGATTAGTTTATCAGAGATCGTCTGAAGCATAACGCTAGTGACGTCACAATCATCCGACCGTGGTGTAGTTAGCTTGTAGCATAACGTTAGCTTTTTACTTCTGTCAGCTTCATTAACGCTTCAAACATCATAGAAATGGAGTTCATCTGTGAAGATTATCCTGCTGAACAAAACGCCTACGCTTCAGAAACGTGCGTTTCATCAGCATCTTTAAACTTACACATTGCATCTGTAACGTCGTCATATTGGTGTCACATTGTGTGAGTTCACATTGCCTCCTCTCTGTGTGTGTGTGAGCTCCACATACACAAACACTTAGGAATGCACACACACATTGCATTCCTCCGCCCGCTAGCTTTACTCAGTGGCGGTCTGTAAGCGCCAAGTGAGACTTTATCTGTTCTTGATTTAAGGATAAGGATGAAATGCTTTCAATAACAAACTCTGACTTTGAACAGGCGATTCATTACATGTCAGTGTCGATCAAACATATTTATATTGCATTTAGCTACTCAGAAAGAAGAAATGTAATCTCACTGAGAGGCAAAAATCATGTTTGGATTGAAATGAGAAAAGCTTGAAACAAATAAAATGCACCAACAAACAAACTGCCTCGTAAGAAGAGACAGTTTCTTACCATGCCTGGGAAGAAGAATTTAGCATTTTGACTTTATTGTTGATACTTAATCTTGATTCGAGCTGCCCTTACCCATTTTTCTCATTTACTCAATGGGTGAAATATAACATTTATTTTCACAAAGGAATTTTCCTTATTTAGACTGTTGAATCATCTGAGGAAATCTGAAGCTGTTTCACTTTCACTTCATCCATAGATCAGTGGAACGTTAAAGAAAACGAGGCAGGAAGGTTGAGACTAAAGGGAGAGTGTTTTAAAAAAATCGTCTGAGCGAGTATAAAGGACTCGCTGTTGCATCACCTGTTTCCACGGCTCGGCCCCTTCACCATGGCAACGAAATGCCGGCTGGGTCGTCAATGTGGGTGTAGAAAGAAGCTTAGAGGAGGAACAAGTGTGTGTTTAGTCTCTTAGAGCTGCACGGCTCAGAGTTTCAGCAGTGAAAGAGTTACATCATTGAAGAGGAATCCTTCTCCCCTCATGTGGCTCTCTAACCGAGCACAGTTTCTTTCTTTCAGCTGTTTCTCTGTTGGTTGTGTAAATGGAGGAAGCGAGGAATGGCTTAGTAATTGGGTCTCTTTGTAGGATGTCAAGGAACGTTTTTCATTGCCAAGACATCGTAATATAAATGTAGATTTTTTAGTCCAGCCCCGAGCAAATCCCTCAAATCTGCTCGCCAAGTACCCACTCAGAGCACATTACAGGAGCTGATCACTTGTGTTTGTGCGTCTCATTACAGGAACAACAGAACGCGTCTGTCTGATACAGGGTACAGTCGAAGCACTCAATGGCGTCCACAACTTCATCGCAGAGAAAGTCCGGGAGATGCCCCAGAGCGCCCAGAAACCAGAACCAGTCAGCATACTGCAGCCACAGACCACAGTCAATCCCGACCGAGTCAAACAGGTAAGATGATCTGCTGTCGACTGTGCGGCAGGACCTCGATTGGGATCTTGTCTGTTAAAAATCAGAGATTCTAATTGAATTATTTTCTTTAGTTCAGCCTGAATGGGTCTCATGTTTTACAGACAGACAGCAAGTGAAAACCATAACGTTTTAGTTTTTCTTAAAAAGATGTCTGAAGGCTGGGAGACACTTTCCTCTCTGGACATTTTCTTAAAATCTATACATATATATATTTAAAAAAAAGATTTTGGGGCTTTCTCTTCCTTTATTTTAGAGACAGTGGATATAGTTGGAAATTGGGGAGAGAGTGGGGAATGACATGGGGGAAAGGGATTTGAAACAGCGCCACCCGCTTCAAGAGCTGCAGCATCTGCACATAGAGCGTGCAAACTAACCACTCTGCCACCAGTGCCCCATCTGTTAGTTTTTAAATGATTTTAGACCCTTGGCTCCACTTTATATACATTCAAGAATGAACACTGAAGCCCAACTTCAAAACAAGCTAAGCACTTACAAACAAGCATGTGGCAGCTCAGCTGGCAGCCCCTCCCTACATTTTGTGTTTGTCAAAGAAGAGCATTAAAAACATTTTTTTAACATGTCAAACATTAGAATTAATTTTGAGATGTTTAAAGTCGGTCATATAGTTGCTCCTGTATTGCTCTGTGTACAGCAACCCCCGTAAACAAAAAAAACAAAAGTCCATATTTTGGACTGATACAAAGAGTTGACTCAGGGGTGAGGTTAGTTTGTGGTAGGTAATAGTTCACTTCCAGGACACTTTGTTTATTAGTCAACAGTCTTGCTTGTTCTCTGGGCCATGACCCACAGTCTAGAAGGGTCAGGAAAATGTGAGGGTATGTGGTTATTTTTACCTCCAGTCTTTCATAGTGAGACAGAGCCGTGTGGCAGCTGCAGGCTAAACCCCTGGGATTAACAAACCGCTGAGTAAAGAGGGGGCTGGTGTAGTACTCTGACTCAGAGCGAGACATCCCTCTTTCTGTCCGCCATTTACGCTGTTAAATCTTCCTCTTGTTACCTCTCATTGCTACTTCATTTTGTATGTCTCCTCAGGCCAAATTGATCGTGCCCAATAGCACTGCTGGGCTTATCATTGGAAAAGGCGGAGCCACAGTAAAAGCAGTGATGGAGCAGTCAGGCGCGTGGGTGCAGCTCTCCCAGAAGCCAGAGGGCATCAACCTGCAGGAGCGAGTGGTGACCATCAGTGGGGAACCCGAACAGAACCGCAAAGCTGTGGAGATCATAGTACAAAAGATACAGGAGGACCCTCAGAGCAGCAGCTGCCTCAACATCAGCTACTCCAACGTCTCGGGCCCAGTGGCCAACTCAAACCCCACCGGCTCACCCTACGCTAACACGGCAGAGGTAATGCCCAACGCCGCTGCAGCCGCTGCTACTGCCTCCAGCCTCCTGGGCCAGGCCGGCTTGACGGGAATGGGGGCCTTCCCCGCCACCATGTCCAGCTTCTCCGGCAACGACCTGTTGGCCATCACCTCAGCTCTCAACACTCTGGCCAGCTACGGCTACAACACTAACACCCTGGGCCTCGGCCTCAACCCTGCAGCTGCATCTGGGGTCCTCGCTGCAGTAGCAGCTAGTGCTAACCCAGCCGCTGCTGCTGCAGCTAACCTGCTGGCCTCTTATGCTAGCGATGCCTCCAGCGGTGCAGGCCACCCTGCAGCAGGCCTGGGGGGCTTCTCCCTGGGTTCTCTTGCAGCTGCGACAGGGGCTTCCAATGGTTACTTAAATGCTTCTTCCCCACTGATGGCCTCCTCCCTGTTGGCGACAGAGAAGCTGGGAGACGGGGCCAAGGACGTGGTTGAGATCGCTGTGCCCGAGAATCTGGTCGGCGCCATTTTAGGGAAAGGAGGGAAAACGCTGGTAGAGTACCAGGAGCTAACAGGAGCCCGCATCCAGATCTCCAAAAAGGGAGAGTTCATTCCTGGTACTCGGAACCGTAAAGTTACCATAACAGGGTCGCCAGCCGCTACGCAAGCAGCACAGTATCTGATCAGCCAGCGGATCACCTACGAGCAGGGCGTGCGCGCTACCAACCCACAAAAGGTGGGCTAAAAAGAAAAAGAAGAGGAAAGGATGAAGACAGAGATAGAAGGGAATCGAGAGGGTCACGATGAATTGAAAAAAAAAAAAGAAAAGTCCAAATATCTGTTCAATATTTCAGTATCAAATGAGAGAATCACAAAGGAGGAGGTGGGGGAGACAACCAAGATAAGTGTGTGTGATATGTGAATGTGTTTTTAGGACTGATGTCCTGATGTTTTTTAAAAGTTTGTGTCGAGTCCTTTTGACGATGGCGATCAGAGTAAGCTGGACTGGTCCACTGCCAAGCTGCAGATTCAAGGGTGAGGCCGCAGGGCTTCACCCTCCTCCAAAACCTCATAGCTCTTTTGTTTTGTTTTTGATCTGATTGGGTTTTTCTTGGTTTGAATTTCAGTTTGCAAAGCCTCGGCTCCCGGTGAGTTGAGCGTGTCAGAAAAAGTTCCAGCCTGCTGTTTCACAAACCTTTGCTCTTTTTGTACAATGCAGAATGCATTGTTAACAGCAGAGGTTTTACGACAAGCACCTGAGGTCACCTCAGTCCATAAGGGAAGCAATCTTGAGTATAATTTCTTGAGACATCACGTCTATGTTGACATATGTTGAATTCTGGCTCATATCATAATTGACGTTTCTAAATTTGGGTATTTTATACTTCCATCCTTTATTTATTGACATGGTCTCATTTAAACACAAATAGATAATTTAAACCTGTGAATGCAGGTTGATCTGAATGTAAAAACAATATTAGCCTATTGCTATTTTTTATTTACAGGGATCAAATATTGTGTTGCAGTGAACGAATTGTATAACTCTGTAAACCCAGTCTGAACTTGACTGTTGCTGTTCTGCAAGTATAGTTCAGGGGTTAAATAATCAATGTGAGAGGACAGAGGAGACACACAGGAATGTATACATATATTTTACATGAGAACAAACATGCTCCCAGAAAAAAAAAAAACACAAACACTGAAAACATATTTGCATATTCAGTTCCAGCTACAAACACAAATACGATGTTGTTGAACCCTTTTCTTGGTGCTATAGAATTAGATGTAAATCTCCATTCAATCTGAATCTGTCTGGCGACCTTCCTTTTTATTTGAAGCGTCGTCCAGCCGTTAGTAGCCCATTGATTGTGACCCAGCCTCTCACCTAATGAAGCGGATTGATTTCAGCATCGCGAGATGAAAAGCAATCCAGTCTTAATATTTTAACTCCAAGTCCAGGTAACTTTTTTTTTTCTCCATAAAAATTGGCCGCACTCTAGATTTTTTACCTGACGATGATTTTTGCCTTATTCACACACTTTGAGAATCACAAGAACTACATCTAAAGCTACCTTGAAGCAGTGTCTCACCAGTTCAGTTTGCAAAAAGAACAAAGCACTACAAAAAGCATTTTGATAAGAGAAGCTGTATGAACCAATTTCTGTGAACAAAGAAACTATTGCCTTTACATTAAGGGTACCAAATAGTCTAGAGACAAACTCTAATGAAAGGGAAGTAGAATGACACTTGAAAAGAAGGTTTGGACTCACTTTTTTTTTGTCTGTGAGCCATCCTTCCCAATTTGCATCAAGACAAAGAAAAAAAAAAAGTCTGCAGTTCATCCAGGCAGCCTGTTATCGCTCCCAAAACACGTTAACGCTCACTAACTTCGAGTCGGAGCACATAATAAAACATTGTGAAATGTTTTCGGCATCGTTGTCTTTTATGGGCAATTGTTTGTCTAATGCAGGGAGGCTAATTGTCTCCAACATTTCCAAACACTCTGAAGATTACCTTGGCTTCCTTCTGTGCTGCTATCCATGGTGTTCATCCTGAGTACACTGGGTCTCTGAAGACTGCACTGTGAGACATTAAAAACACAACGTAAAGTGTCTGTCCCTGCCGGGGGATGTGAGTATATTTTAATGTGCACATCTATGTCACATAACCCACCAATACTGACAGAAGGGATAAATCTCCACAAGAGCATTTATACTCCCAGCATCTTGTGATGGTTTTGTTTTATCACTTCCTCCAATGCACTTGCGCCCAAAAATTAGCAGACATTTTCAGACCACAAAATTTATCCCTGCCATTTTTCTGTGCACTTATTACATCGCAGAGACATCTTTCAATTGTCCTCCTTCAACCCATGTTCTAAGATTAGCTTCCTGAATACAAGGCTGTGAGAGTTGCTGCTAGAGCTGCGTTAATTAATCAATTCATCATAGGGAAGGAATTTGATTGCCTAAATTGTTTATGTCCATTTTTTCTTTTTCTAAAAGTGTCAAATATTTGCAGGTTCCAGCTTTCTTTGGGTTTAAACTCTCGGTGTTGATGATAGAAAACAATTTGCAGACTTAGTTAAGCGCTCTGAGAAACTGGGATCAGCATCTTTTAAATTTGCATTCAAAGTGGTGAATTGATTTGTCCTGAAAAAATAATTTGCAGATTGATTTATGATATCAAGAAATGTTTTGAGCAGCTCTAGTTGTTGCAGCAAAGTGTCCAGGAAAAAATCAGAGTCACTCCCTCTTCCTGTTGTTTTGGGGACAGAATTGAATGACTACCCTTTTCTCATTCATAATTCATAGTCGAAAGAAACAACTCGTCGTGTGTGAACATTAAATCATGGCAACACTGAAATCTTTTCTTTCACTACGTGTCTGGAAGGCTTCACTGTCATCCATTAACGATAATCTGGCCCAGCATAAGAAAACCTTTTTACTGCCCAAAGTTTGAGCATTATAATAAGATACAAGCACAAAACCAGGGGGATGTATTACCAATGCAACTGGACTGCTCGCCTGCAGAGAGCTCTCCGTCAAAAGCTCTCGATCGCTACATTGTGCCAAATACTATTTCTCTCTCTGCCCCTTCATTAGCTTTCCTCTTTCTCTCGACATTTTGATTCCCCCTGTATGTTGCTGTTTCTCACCCTTCTGTCTCTTATCTCTGTCTGTGCTTCTTCTTCTTCTTCTTCTTCTTCTTCTACCTACACTGTGCTCTCCCCCTCTTTCTCCTTCCTCCTGTCTTGTCCTCTCATGGGCAGTGTGCTGGGTGTGCTGTTGCTGCTGCTGCTGCTGGTTTGTGGTGGTGGGAGTTATGCACTATAGGTCATGAGGGTATAAAAATGTTTTCCCAGGCCGTAGAGTTCACAAGGCTAAATTGCACAGAAAACACCTGCCTCCAAATACTGTGACACCCACAAGACCAGCCAGCAACATTAGCTCAAAGTATCAAATTCCCTCTACACGAAGAACACTTAGAAGAGTTTAGACCGTGAACTATGGCCTTTTTTTCATTCCAGAAGAAGAAGGCAAATCTTGGTTGAATAAATATTCATGTGTCAGCTGAACAAACTGAGCTCGAGTTTCAGCCTCTAAACGAAGCATAGTAAGGAAAAGAACGCATACGATAGCAAGAAGTAAGGTGGGAACTTGTTTGTGACCTCAAGCCGAAACAATGACATCCTTTATGCATATCCTCTTATCTGAAAAATGACTAGATTCATTTCTGTGGAATACAATATGTCATGTCATATGATCTATATGTACTTTATTGTAGCTATTCTAGTTTGTAGTCCAAATGCAGTCCAGCGTTGTCGATACAATGTGAACTATGTTATATTTGTGTGGATGATGAGAGTGCCAACTAAGCCTGATTAAGATTAGCTTCGCGATTTGTTTGTGCATTATGATGACTCATCATCAGCCGGTGGTGTCCATATTTCTGTCATTGATGATTTAGTTTGACAGTAAGAAAATGTAAAGAATATTGGAAGCAATATAGTAGCATGTTGTCCTGTTTTGTGTTTTATGTCTGTTGTATGAACCTTTGAAATTACTAAGATTTTGAATGAATAGGTTTACATGTACTTTTTGTAAGTTATGAAAATGCTGCTATTTGATAAGTAAACTATACAAAAATATTTTAGTTGAAAAGATGTCTGGTCTGTTGATTAGAGATGTGCTCCGAAAGGCCGGAGCATACGACGAGGTGTATAGAAATACTATACAGTATTGGTAAGATAGTAAAAAGTAATAATAGACTCCATAGTACAACCTGTGCCAAACTAGACCTCCGCAGCTTCTGAAATTGTAGATGTGCGATCAAATGTTAGATATCAATAACTTGTTTAGAAGTGCTGATCAAGTGCCAATCAAACACTGTCTTTTAAGTTAAGAAAAGATAATCAAATACATGACTTAAGAAAAACAAAGGACAAAGAACTTTTTGTGCATTGTTTTATCCCATAGGTACATAGATAAGAGTTAAAGATTGTGATTTTTATGGATCCATGTTGTTTTACACTCCATGCATCCCTTGTGTGTTTGTTTGACCTGTGGCTTAAAGTACTGCTGTCTCACAAATGTCTCTCTATAGGCCAGCATGGACTAAAGCATAACATGTTATAAGCATTCATAACATACCATTAACAATCAAAAATGTGTTTGTGGAGTTAGGTGTTATCTTTTTGCACGTCTTCTATTGCATGGTATCAAACGTTTAAAAAAAATTAAATATGGAGGAAAAAAATAAAATGACAAAAACTTTTGCGAGGGTGTCTCGCAACATTCAAAGACATTACGCTGCATGAAGTCAAATGTAAAAGCACTTAAGTTTACTCGCCTCATGTTGGAAAAAAAAAAGAGTTGTTTTTTTATGTCGTGAGTTGGGAGGGAGATCATTATTGTCATGTTGGCCCAAAACACACACCCACACACACACACACACACACACACACACACACACACACACACATACACACATATACACACACAGATCAAATTGTCATCTTCACGTCATCACAGATGTTTTGATTTTTAGGTACAGTGAGGAGTATTACAAATGTGAAACAAGCAAACGTGAAAATGTTACTCAGTGCATTGGCTCTTTGTGTTTTTTTTAAAAATAAAATCAAGCATGCATTTTTTTTTAAACAGGTTGAACCTCATGTAACCTGTCCCATGAAGTTACACGATTCTTTTTGTTTTAATGTCACAGCTTAAAAGCCCAGATCTAATCTATGAATGTACCCATATATTCTTTTTGTATCATTTTGAATTCTGTCGAATGTTACCAGTCTTTAATGTAAATTCAGGGCAGGAATGTCAGATACATGTAGAGTTAATATCTATGTCAATAACAGATTTCAGCTATAGTCAGGTAGGCCTCACACGGCCACAGTCATGAACCAGATATGTTTAAACACAACTTCCGATTCGCTGTCAACATTATCTTGTTTGTTTGGTGTTGCATAAATGCACTTTACTGATCAGTGGGTCATCTTGTGAAATGAAGCAAAACCATGTTGTTCATTTTGTTTCTGTTTGCTGTTGCTCTGATGTTACCATTATTTATTTATTCCCCCGATCCTGTTGGGTCTCATGAGTGATGGAAAGGGCTGGAGTCTCAAACTAAATAGAAAAAAGGTAGCACCTGTTTCCTCACATACCCTTCAGCAGAGGTTTGTGTCAGTCACTGAGTGCTTTGTTTTTTGGGTTTTTTTTACAAACATGTGAAAACCCAGAAGGATCCTAAGACATCGTGCATCCTCCTTTTGCTTAAATTACAAATTCAAAAAACCCTTTTTTATTTCTTCAACTTTGACGAAAGAACCAAGGGATGCAAGTTTAAAAAACTACAAGGTCACTTTTGTGTCTTTATTATGCTTTTATCAGATTTAAGGATTAAACATGCATAGCTGACAAAACTGCAGACTGAAATCAAATTCCGTTAAAGTGAACTTGTGATTAAAGAAACATTAACGCAGATGAAAAAAAGTTTCTTTGCACATCTAAAACTTTTGCTTTTGAATCCAAAATGTTTCAGTAGTTTTTATGGATGTTTTTTTTATCATCGCTCAGATTGAGACGTTTCTCAACGTAGTCCTGCCCACAAGATCAGAGTCAATCATTTTTGTATTCAAAAGTAAAAAAAATATTTTGATTACATATCATTGAGAATGTATTTGACTTGCAGTTTAAACATTTTTGATTGCAGTGTGGACATGTTTGTCTCCTCTGTGGGTTAGTTTTGCTTCTGTTTGATTGCATATTAATGAAGACACTAAAAGTTACCTGTTGAAAAGAAGTGAAGGTAGATAACATAATTGGCACCAGCAACATGAAGATCCTCTCTGTAACCTCAACATGTTTTAAAACCAGTGAGGAAACCTTACCGACGTCGAGTGGCCTAGAGATACATGAATGATATTTCTCTCATTATTTTTGAGTTTTCAAACCCCTGTCGTTGCATTTTATCTCACCTCAATGTCAAACCTGTTACAGATTCATTCAAAAGAAGAAGTTTGTTTTGTTTCTCTTTTCACCTCAAACGTGTCCCGGATGTTCATCTGCGTCCATGAAAGCTCTTTCACAAAGAAGGACTGTTTTTTCTGGCTAAGGCTCTCTCACAACCTCTTCTCCTCGAGTCTCACTCTCTCAGCCTACACCACGATTTGTGTTTCATCACACAGTGTCCGCCCTTTGAAACGGATTAAAGTACCTCTGAGCCCCGGAGAAAATACAGGATTCTTTGCCAACCAGATATGAGGCCATTTCTGTTGGTGTCTCTGACCCTCTGAACCTCTCATGAACTTATTTGACCTTCTCCATCCCCCCGAGAACTCATGTATGTGTTGGATATTTTACACTCTGCGAGACTGTTCTGTTGTTTTCTTGTTTCTTTTTTTCTTTTCCTGGACAATTCTGCAGGGTTGCTTAAATGTAAACTGAAGAAAGCATGGCAACACCTTGCAACCATTCTCACATCATTACAGATTGACTTTTTTGGGGGGTATTTGGTTTGACTTTGTTTGACCTCTGTTCTTTACATCTCAGACTAAAATGGGCTGACAGCATAAGATCAAATATTGCAACCTCAGAAAAGTGATGTTTTTTTCTTTTTTAGTTGATTGACGACGGTTCTGTCTTTCATTTGTGACGAGAATAATCTGTGAAAGTCCACAGTGTTTAACTACCTTAAAGGGCTTTCCGGGACAGCATTTGTATGTCTTTAAAAAATGGAAAAAAAGTCCTCTTTGAGTTTATTGAGAAACAGAGGAGAAATGTCTTCTTGTGCCATTTGAGACAAGTGTGAAAGCTTTTCATGGCAAATATTATCTGCAACGAGTGCCAAATAATTCTATACTGAGCCAAAAGGCTGCCAGCCTACATGACTAAATGTTAGATCACTGGAATGGTTACGTCCCATTTCCACTCCCCTTGAAAAACATCACCCCTAATTGTACGACGTTCGAGCTCATGCACCATTATTGTTATGCTGCCAGTCTGTTTTCTGCTTTTGTCAGAGAAACATCTCAGAAGCAGGATCTTTTCTAAACGAAACACTGTTGATAAAATGACAACAGCTACTACGGTGAGGGAATGAGAGGATTTTAAAAGTGTCATTGTTTTTCTTCTTCGTTGATTTGAACATTATTCATTAATAGATTTAACGGTAATGACTATTTAATGTAACTGTAGTACTGTGTTTGTAAAAGAAATTCAGTGAGTTGTGTTTTATGACTCGTGGACTACCAGTGAAGTCAGCATTTCAGTGTTAATAAATTGAATTGTTTTTTAAAGATTATTTTTGCGACGGCAACAAAGAGTCATTATAAATGTTCATTTTAACATCACTCGCCTTGTGTTTCTTTTGTTCTGCACTCCAGAGAAAACGTCCAGTGTCTATATGACACGTTAACAGATCTTCAATACGAGCACACTTTAAAGGGAACAATGGCGCTTTATGAACACAAGGCTCACATATGATGAGGGATGAAGGTATGACAATTACATTTTAGAATGAGAATGAATTTACGTAATGTATCTGATGGTTAGTTTGAGTGTTAGATCATTATGTTGTCCACCTTAAAAAGCTAGTTTATTTTTTCTAACCTGATTAAAATTAAGAGGAAAAGTATTTTTTTGTTTTTGGCATGACGAGAATTATACATGGAAGAGGATTAGAGCAAGGCATGAGAAATAATGAGAGAAGGACGTTTTCTTTCATTATGCACTTTAAGAAAAAAGTCAAAGGGTTGAAAAAATATTGTTGGGAAAATAGCAGGGACGTGAAGGATTATTTTGAAAGTGTTGAGAAAAAGGTTGAAAAGTAAAAATGTCGACAAAAAAGGACTAAATCTGTTTCTCTAAATTAGAATTTAACTTTATTATCTGCATTTCGACTTTTTCCTTGAAAGTGCATCACTTCATTATTTATTCCTCATGTTCTCCTCTGTAACTTTTATGCCAAAATGTCAAGATGAAGGGAGTTTTTGATTTGACTTTCTTTCTTTTTATTTAATCACAATTTGACTTTATCCAAAAATGAAAGCAAAAATATGTCGCCAGTTTCTTTACTTTTTAGTTAAATAAGTCACTTTAACTGAAGTATCCACTTTATTCCCATAAATGAACTTCATTCCTCTTATGCAATCAGCATATTAGATTTAGTAAGGCATCCACCTTTAAAGTTTTTGAATCAGTTTTCAGTTAGATGCCTGAAATAAGGTGACACAAGCTAAAGAGATTTTAAAGATTTTTTCTACAACATAAAACATGGAAGTGTCCCACTTGTGGTTTTTGGACTGGGACTTAAGAGTTTGTGGGTAACATTAAACATCATCACACCGAACATGGAAACTCAACTTATTATAAACGTAGTGGTGACGTTGAAGTCAGTCATTGTAATTTCTTTTTAGCCTAACATTAGCTTTTCACTTTCTTTATGAAAGTAGTTTTTATTTGTGAACTTTATCTTGATGAACAAAACGTGAAAGTGTCACCAACTTTTTCTCAGAGCTAATTTTTAACAATAATTAAAAAACCATTGTAGGGAAAAAAAAAACTTTTTGTGAAGGGATCCAGCGCGATGCGTCATACGTGCACCGCTCTATAATGACTGTACATAAGAAGTGGGCGTGGCCTCTTCAATCTAAAATATATATGTATTCAAAAATTTAACTCCAAGAAAACACACTTCCTTCTCACTTCTTCTATTCCTTGGTAATCATTATTCTGATGACTCTTTTGAGTCTTCTGCCATCCAGCTCAATGTTTATTTAGTAAATGATGATCCCATGTCGAGTAAAAGAGAAGATAACACAGGACATGCTGCAGGGCATGACTATTTGTGATGGACATGTCACTACCAAACCAACCATTGTTCATCCTCTTGTTATATACATATATTTTCACTTATGGAGATGTAAAACAAAGACAGGGACTGCTAAAAGAATATCACACTTGAGGCCTTTTTTAAAAAGTCTACAAACCTATAGTGATTTCATGGTGCCTTCATGGTCCACTTCTCAAACAGTCTAAAGTCTGAACAACTTTGATTAGCGATCCATCCAGCAGGTGTTGAGATGTTTGGATGTAAGTGGTTGACAATTCGACTCTGCCATCCAAATTCAGACTTTTTCTTCCCTGTAGGTTTTGTCTTTTTTTCCTCTGAATCCACTGAGTGAGCGTTTATTTAGCATGAGGGTAATGAAAACCTTTTTAGTGTTTCAGGCGGCTTATTGCAGGGTGACTCACTTCACTATTCAAAGCCCTGCATCTCTGGGACTGATTAGCCTGGTATTGCTTAATCTAGTTGAATAAATTAGATTTAATGTGAGTATTCTTTGCAGCTGTGGTCAGAGAGGGACCGTTTGTCATATCAAAGGTGGAGAGTACCTTTGACTAACATCTGAGATCAACTGGTACAATATATCTCTCCCAGCCATGCACAGCTGGGAAGTACAAACATTTATCATCCATTCAGTGTTAATTATAGGGGATAATTGGTGCACAAACTGATTAAAAAGTACTCCTAAATCATTTCAAATGTGTCACCATTGAATTCAAAGCATGAGCTCTGAGTTCAGTTATTTCTACACAGACCTGAAGCGAAGTCAGCGGAGAACAATTCAAAGTTCTGCCTCGACTGTCGGTGCCTTGACTTTTATGTAATGTCCTCTATGAGCCATCCGGCACGCAGTCATTCCTCCTACACTGTTTGACCTTGTTCGTTATCCAGCAAATACATCTCTAATCTTCTGAGCTCATCTACACCAGCGAGGAAGCTGACATCACACACTCAAACACAACAGGCTGCGGCAGCTGTACCGTCACATCACAGTGTTTTAAAATAGTTATTAGAAGTATTTCAGAGTGTTAAGAAGCATAATACATGTGAAGATTTAAACATAATATGCAGAGGGGTGTTTCGTCAAAGGTAGGTCAGACTATTTAGGATGGTGAATTTATTTATTAACACTCATAAAGGATGGCATAAAATCATATTATGAGAATATAAAAACATGTCAGGAGAGGTCAAGAAGCCAACAGGCTTATACAAGGGACCTCACCTTTCTTAATAAATAAATAAACACAATTATTAAAATCATTCAAATCTGACCCTCACAAGACTGGGACTGTTTTGAGTGTGAAGATGGCTTTAAGAAGACAACGTGTAGAACAGTGGTTCTCAACTGGTCTTGCCTCAGGACCCCCCAGCAACTCCTCAATGAGAAACTGCGACCCAAGTTTCTGATATTTTTCAAACAGTGAGATTAAGCTAATGACAAATTGTGCAGTTTGGACCTAGGATGGACCAGAACAAAAAGCGCTTCATTTACTTTTTCACAGTTTATTTTCCAGGTACAAATTCATGACCCACTGAAAACGGCTCCACGACCCACTTTTGGGTCCCGACCCACCAGTTGAGAACCACTGATGTAAACCATGCATGCAGGATAAATGCAAATAAATAAAAAATGGACCTTGATACCTCCAGTATGTACACTTCAGTGTTCTGAGATTGATTTGCTATATAAATAACACCCTACAAACACTAACTAACTGCATATATGATTTAATGTAGAAATAAAAACGGATTGATTGATTGATCAGCGTGTGACACAGCACAGCCGCAGTGTTGTCGAGAGGTTCTCATGTGTTTTTGACATGGCACAAAGAACTCAAAAGTCTTCTCTTTGCAAACAGAAGATGCTACATCCACTTCTTATATCCCTGTCTATGCTTCAATCCAAAAACATTTTCTTAATCAATTCAAAATGACTTGCTGCCATCTACGTGTATGACACCAAGAGACATTTTTTATTAGTCTTAAGCTTTTGTTTTTGCCGTCCGATTTCAAACATGAAGCCCAAACACTATGTGGGTGCTATGACGTCTCATAAAAGGATGCATTTCCCCTACTTGTGTGTGTGAAAGGTTTTGACACTTTGAGCACCTTTGCCTTCACTCATGCACAAATGCTTAACGTTGGGAAATACTAGGAAGAAATATAAAAAATGTAATAAAAAAGTAGAGAGGGAAAGAAAGAAAGAAAGAAAGAAAGAATGACAGAATAATCTTAATGGGGTCCTCTTGCTGGCCTGTGTATGGGCTCTTTAAATAATTAATTTGGTTAACAGCAGGTTGTTAAAAAGATCACATGTAAAGGGCCGAAAAAAACAATCTTTTTTAAGGTTTATTTTTGGACTTTTTATGCCTTTATTTTAGAGATGCTTACAGTGGATAGCATCATAAATCGGGAAGAGAGAGAGAGGGAAATATGATGCGGGATGGATCCACTGGTCGGATTCTAACCTGGGCCATCCGTAACATTAGCCTCCGTACATGAGGCGAGCCAACTAACCACTAAGCTACCAGCGCCCCCCATGAAATAAATATTCTCATATTCTGTAAATTTGGAAACAATGTTGCACTCAAGATCTCAGTCCTTCTGAAATCTTCAACCCCATCCTGTATTTATAACAAACAGGACGTCACTTCCACTTCCCCTGAATGCTCTGAGTTTCCTCATACAAAGTTTTATTTGTAATTGGACTGAGATACCTTTGGGAAAAACCATGAATTCCTTCCTTTGTGTTATGCAGTGAACGAGACACGGCAGCAGATGGACATGGCTCGGTGGAAAGCGTGCATGTAGTTTGCATAACAATTAAAAGAATGACTAACTAACTTTGAAATATGGCCAGACAATTAGGCTGTGTGAGGGATTGGAAATAGTAAGCAGCCTGAGGTCAGAGGTATTTAGGGAATAACATGTTGCCAATATGAATTTATGAGCTTCCCTCTGTAATCCCCCACAGTCTCAGTATTCCAATACAGATTTACAAGGAATATTTATATATCTATGAGAAACAACAGCTATTTCTGCTCCATTACCTTTTTATAGAACCACCCATCCGCTGCATTTATCCCACTTTAAAACCAGCCTTTTGTTAAGACTGATCCCTCCCTCCTAACATTGTGCAGACATGAAAATCATCTCATATTGTCCACTCTGCGAGGCGAAAAAAAAACATCATTCAAAATTTTCTGCACATACATCTCACCCCAACCCGAGTCTCATTTTCTATGTTGAATCGAGGTGTAAAAAACCCTGCAGCGGTATAGATTTAAGGCACATTTGGTTCCTGCTGTGAGAGAAGGTAGCAATGGGCTTGAATGATAAAATTGCGTTGTCAAGGTAACAGGTTGTTCTGAAGACTGCAAATATGTCGTATCGGGGATGCTCCCCGTACAATATTTCACTCTGCAGCCTCTGAAGCATTGTGTTTCACTCCCTCAAAGTCAGGCAGGTGCTGCAGATGTAATACGGTTTGCATTTATAATTTAG